TTTGCGAGAAGTGCTGAAGAATGAGAATGTAGTCAAAAAGTGGTGTACAGTTGGCAGAGAACATTTTATTGTTGATTTGATGACCTGACGACATCGGTGTGATTGGGCAAGTCAAATAAAATGGAGAATTAAAGAGTGAATGGATACATTTTGGTCCTTTATTTTACTTGGATACTTGGATGGCCCGTCTTCACTGGCTGTGCGGCCTCAGAATAACTTCCATTTTCCGGGAATTTGCTGGTGTAGCCATCGTGGTTCGCTGGAGTCCCGTGAACAGCCTGGCCAAAGTCTGCCCCAGGTACTCACCACCACAGGCAGTTGTACCAGGACGGTGGTGGATCCTGGTATTGGTTTACTCCTGGGCTTTCTGATAGAAACGCCGGTCTCCTTCTCAGCTTTGGACGCTGCTGGAGGGATGAGTCCACCCCGCCCCTGTACATCACAGCCCGATACTCAGGAGCACGTCCAAATCATGATGAGGCGGTAAACCGTTGGGAGGGTCTTTCATTTTACCGCAGACAAAAACGAAAGCCATAATAAATAGCTTGAGCTCCACTGTAATATCTAAAATAGCAACAGTAATTACATCAATATTATTAGTACTTAGACACTGTTTTCGTTTAATTTTCTTCCGATCATTACCCATGACAATGAAGAGATTCGCTTGTGGATTCAGCTGGAACTTGAGGATATGGAAGCTGATTCCAGCTGTGGATACACCTCGTAGCAATTGTGTCATCCTATGGTTTTAGTGATCTCCGTCGAGGTCATACCGCTTCTGCGGAACCAACTCTGAAGCTGGTCCTGTTTATTTATGGTCGCCTGTTCTCATTCATTAATTACATGACTGGCCGACCAGCCTTTCGATGTTTGCTTTTTGAGACGTTTCGCACTGGGTCTCAATCCCAAGAGCGATAATACGGTCATTGTCAACGCCAACAATTTGCGGTTTGTCTTCTGAGCAACTCTGACCAGTCCCACCTTCTGAAACGCCCATTGTCGACTTCCTACGGTTTATACTTCCACAGCATATATGTCTTGCATTTTATTTAATTACTCATCTAGTTAAATAATTTATAGGCAAATCAGCTAAAGTAAAATAGTAACCAACGAACGCGTATGATTGTTTCTTCGTCTCTTTCTTTTTCATTTATTTATTTGCCCTTTTATTCTACGCTTTTTTCGTCCCTAAACAGAAGTTGACAGTAGTACCAGTTTGGAATAAGCTCATTGTCTTTTAACGATGAATAAAAATCTGTTCTTATTGAACATCTAGGAAGTGATCGAGAAATTGCTAGACTTTTCTGGCTAGAACATTTCCACAGCTTCTGTACACATTTCTTCTTGCGTTGTTTTTTTTCAGTGATTTTGTGGTTTCCTGTAAAGTCTCCTTTCTAGCTTTAATCTTGCAAGCATTTCTTTGTTCAGGTTTGATACCCTTATTGTTTTCGATTTCCAACCGATTTTATCACCAATGAGTGGCGCTTAGCGTTTGTTTGATTTTCGTAGTCCAGTGAGATCTTTGCGCAAATTTTAACTAAACGTCAGCTATTTTTCTTTTCTACTCCTTTGTTCACTGCAAGGAGAAAAAAACGAAAAGCATCCAAGCTGAGCCTTACGATAGAAATGTGGTTGGAGGCGTCGTTGTTCTTAAGGGTTATTGAAGTTACGTAGTATCATCATTGTTCCTAATTGTGATGTCGCTTGGACCCTTGTTCTGTGGGCTATCCATGCCCCTCTCCTTGTTCCTCAAGGGCCTGTAAATTGCTCACAAACTCGTCTAGGAGTCTGGAATGATAGAAGACACTGAATCGGTATATCACTAGGCCTCAGAGAGTTTAAAGACGAAATGTGCACTTATTCACCCCTATTGCACTAGAGTGGAATTCATGATGCATTCTCACGCGATTGGTTAACGCCGAAAGCCCTAGCACTTACGGTTAGCGATGTTGCCTTAACTCAATACAACTTCACATTGATGGTGAGGTCAGACGACAACGGAGCCGGAAGAGAAGAAGATTTCCTTTCCATTTCTGGAATGGTTGGCTAGCTGCCAAATGGCTCGTTCCAGCGACGAGCGGTTTGTGGCTAACTGATCTCCGCCTGTGTGAGCGTCGATGAACTAGTGGACCTTTGTATGCTGTTGAATGGTTTTTTCACTGTTCCACCACTCTATTCTAAATTGGCCGCACTTGTTTTATTTAGATCGTAAAGGCTGCCCAACCTCACCGAATGAGGAGATTTCCACTTATTTTCCTCCTAGGCATGGCTCTCTAGTGTTGCATTCATCATCATCTGACATCATCAAACCGGACAATGCTGATTCTCCCGCTAACCAGTGGTAGTTGTCAGCTGATAAAACGACAAAAATTATTTTTCAAATTGGATTATATACGACTTTCAAACTAATTCCTCCATTAAACGCCGATTTCACTTTTTTTTACAGCGTGCCACTTCTTGTAAGCAGTCTTTCTTATGAAATCAACTGGCTTCCTTCCTCAAAATTCATAATTGATCGCGCAGCTGATGAAATGCATGAAATGCAGGCGATTACAATCTTCCCCGTACATATTTTTCCTGTTTAGTATGGCTCAATGGTTGTGTTTACCTCACTGGAATCGCAATATTATGGTTCGAATTCACCTTCGTCGACCCATATAAAAAAGCGTAAAAGATTAAATAAGTTTAACGCCTTGTTAAACGTCTTCAAGTTTAATGGTGACTCAGTTGATATTGTTGCACGGTATCGTATTGTAGATGGCGACAGTACTGTGAAAGTGATGGTGCAGCGTTCCATCCATTGCTGAAAGAACGATGGATTGGATGGATGGATAGAGAGGTGGATTTGAACTTATGGAGGTGTTTGGCTGGGTAGATTCCAGTGAACTTGAGCTTGCCAGGCTCTGTGGAAGGCGACATACGCCGAAACATCAGTTGTTGGGTGAATAGAGAAATAAAATAACACCTCGTGTTTGCTAAACGAGAATATGAAAAACTTAAAAACCTTTTTGAAAAACTATTTTCTATTCAGGGAGCGGACATTTAACTGGAGCTCTCACATTGTTGTTAGATTTTGCTATTTTTTCATTTTTTATTTTATTTGATCTGTTTATTGTGCAGATCCCAACACTTCTCACATTCGATTCGTTTCCTCGCATCTATTGTTTCCGAAAATCTTTCTCCCAACTTTTACGCGTGGCTTCGGTTGCTGCTTGAGGATTTTCATCTTATCTTGAATGTCGTAGAATACTGGTCGAGCGATTCTCCCTGGAGTCCTGGGATAGCCGGGCTGGAGCGTTCCCAATTGGATTACAGAGAGTGGTTTTCCCAGACAAGTCCAGTATCAATTCCCCGCCCTCGGAGGGATGAGAGGCTTGGCTGGCCCCGAGCGGAATCGAGCTGGCACCATGCTCGTGATGACGGACATCACTACCACTGTGCTATCCGCGCTATTGTTGTTAGCTGGTGAATGGAAGTAGGTGTTGATCGATGTAGCGAGGATAGTGAGTAGTAAGAGTCTACAACGTTGCTGAGTGTTATAGACACGTCGATATATCGATAACATTTTATTGGGATCTTAGTGACCGACTGTGTGCAAGCCCTTTTCCAACGTTATGTTATGTCTAGAAAGCCTTCATCTACTATTCGTTCGTCTTTTTGCCTTTCCCCCTTTCTCTCTCTGCGTTTCTGCCTCTCTTTTCATCTATCTCTTTTTGCCTTTGTATGTCTATGCAAATGCGAATCCATTTACGACGGAAAACAAATAACAAATTCGAAGCATTGTTCAATGATTTCTGTTTTCGAAACATCCTATTCCGAACCACTTCTCTTTCTCTTAATGTGATTTTTTTTTCTGACTTCCTACACTCCTTTTATACCTCTTTCGTTCGAAGTTTCCATATCCACCCTGAGTGTTCCACTATATCTCTGTTCCTGCCCTTTCCCTCTCTTCGTTTCTTTCTATCTCCTCCTTTCTCTTTCCCTTTTTCTCCCTCGTTCTTTCTTCCCATCTCTCTCTCTATTATTCGGTATTCAAAAGTAGACATGTCTATGACGAAATGAAGAACCCAAAGCATCAATTGACAGTGCTCATGTCAAGGCACCCTATTTGTGGTCTGGCTCTTATTTTCTTTATGCGATTCTTTTTCTCACCTCGTACTCTATTCTCTTTCTATCTCGTAAACATTTGAACACTTTTCTATCGTTGTATAATGTGAATCTTTTGATTGGTTTTTGCTGGCGATACGGCTGGCCTGGAACCCGTTCCTCCATTCATTCAGACGCCGAGCGCACTTCATCGTCCTCATCACCTCAGCACCGCCACCGCCGCCTCCGCTATTCAGCTCCTCTTCGCTTCTCCCTTGCTACTATCACATGCAGTCACCACCGTATCTTTCGCGGTAGTTGTTATACTTACTTCCATACCTCTGACTGTTTCCACTACTTTTCATTCCAATCGTATTGCGGTGCGATTCGAAAAAAAGCATAGTAGTTTTCGTCTGGTAAATCGTCTCTTATCGAATATAATTTCATTCTATCATTCAGGTTTAGCTCGTTATGCCCCGTTTAGTCATCTTTGATATTTCAGGAGCTCATTGTTCGTCTTTTTTAAAGATACTACAAATGAGTTCTGATTAAAGTAATAAAAGATGACAAATAAGTTAAATAAAGTATGATTGTCATATGTAGCATATCTTGCTATGTGAATAGACTGGACGATAACAAGAGCTAATCGGTTCGTTTACCCCTGTTTGTAATGATCGTTAAGAAGGTCACACCCGTCGCCGCTGAATCCGCTTATTGCTGTAGAGAACCAGGGAGTAGAAGCCTGGGTAAATCTGGAAACTGATTTCCCTAGTTGGCGTCGGAGCTGAACTACTTATCAAATATCGATGGATTTCCACCCAGTAATGTCAAAGAGCCGGAGTTCGTTAGCATCATGATGTTCTACGCATCAGATTCCGATGTGACAGAAGATGATTGGTAGCAATTCATTTAATATGTCTATGTATTTCAGCAATCAAGCGATACGAACACCACTGACTCGTCGCCGGATCTTGCAACGTGAAAGGCTGCTGAACGGCTTTAATTCGCTGATTTCTGGAGCGCGTACGTGACACAGATATTAAATAATTTTCCCTTTTTTTATGTTTTCTTTTGTTCTTCGGTTACTCTATGATGATAGTGATGGCGGTGGGATGCGCTCAAAGAGTATGATGGGGACTTTTCGTCTTAACCTCTGTCGTTCATGATCTTAGGAAATTACTCTTTGCTTAGGCTACATTTGGTTCCCACATATGAATTTGAAACTATCGTCCCAGCATAGATAGGACGTGTCTTAGCTTGGAGTTATGATGTACGGCGTATTCGATTCATACAACCGGTACGATCTCACATTCTGAAGGGGAAAACCACATCTCTATCCAAAAGCTCAGCCATGAGTAAACCTATGCAATAACATGCAGCAAATCTATAGAAACCTAATAGGCAGATGTAGAAAACCTCCTTCCCGATTTACAGGACCAGCAACATACTGTGGTGGTGATCTAAAAATGCCCTGATATGGTTTTTTTTTGGAACTCCAAGGTAAAAGTCTAACAAGAATTCTTTCGAAACGTCGGTGATTTTTGCGATAATCATGAGTCGTGTAATTAGTCGACTAACTAGTTGATTCGTCGAAAGGTCTAAATGATGGTATGGGACAATAGAATGAGACGAATCTAGTGAAGAACTTTCTTCGTGTTCAGAACCACGCCATGACCAATCGATCCAACAGGTATCCCCGGAAAGGATGGAACTGCTGTCAGAATCTGTTTAATATATTTTTTATACGTCTTCTCTAAAATATCTTCATTCAATTTTATTGTTTTGCAAAGCGGTCTAAAGAATTGCTCAAGAAAAATGGAATTTTCAGAGCGTAGTGTAATGCAGAAAACTGAATCCGTAAAGCAACCCGCTGTCTCCACAGTCGACATCACTAAGCCGTCATCGCGGTTAGTCTGCATTCCAATAGAATTCTACCGTCTTGGGTTATAAATATGACTCATATTCTCCATCATTTATTTTTATGGAATATTAAATAGCGTCGAAGGTTTAGCAGTGGTCATGGTGCAACGAAACCGCGTCCTCCGTTGAAACCTCGTGATTTGGCGCAGCGTTCAGTAACATGGACCCAAACAAGCGGTGTAGAGCAATTACCAACGTGCGGAACAACTGACAACGTCAAATGTGTCACCACTTCAGAGGACGACGTCGAAACGGCGGCAACGGCTTCCGTTTCCACGGCAGATGAGTGTTCGACATTTGATGTCGCCACAAGTGAGGAGTGTTCTCCGTCAAATAAGGCAATCTTACGGAGGAGGTTGGCGTTTTTTTAAGCGTCTAGGTTCAGGTCAGACAGCACAGATTTTTTCTGCGCGTAGAGTGAACGTACCTGTATTATCACCGTCAAGAACTCGTTCTACTAGTTCTATTTAATGAAAATACTGCAAAAATGGAAGCGGCTACTATCGGAGTAATGATTGCTTTAGTTGTACTTTGATGTTCACCCTCGAACATACAAGTAAGCATAAAAATCGTTACCGTTGGCAGCAAATATTCGTACATAAACTCATGCTGTATTTTACCAGAACGTAAAACCATTTAATAAAAAGACGTTTACGTAAAACGTGAAGATCAATCACTGAGTGATGTCTCATGCATTGGTGTACATTCATAATATCGTAGAAATGAATCAATTGAGTGCCTATTTACCGTGCACAATGACTTGCGGTGTCACACTAATATTCAACTGAGTGCTTTTATCCCTCAAGCAACTTGATACCAATTTGTAGATATCGGAGATACCAAAGGCTTGGTTTGCTTATAGAGCGGAATAGAAACAGAGAATACGTATGTATTGCTCGGTTTCTCCAAGCATCGTGCAGGACGCGCCTTCTCCTATTCTAGTGTAATTCGTTAATATTTTCCTGTTTGAAATTTGGCAGGGTTTCCTGGTTTTTGTTCAAATGTGGAATTTTTAGTCCTGGTTCTAATGGTGAATGGCATATAGGAATGAGATGCTGCAAGAAAACAAGAGGAAAGTGTTTTGTGATAGAAGACACCGGGTACTGACTGCTGCCATGGTGGACTATATATGGTTAAAATTTTGTGGAAGTGTATCTAAATAGAAGTGAACGTTTCTGTTTTTCTGACTGGTATGACAACGAAAATCTTACGATAGCCATCTGAATAATTCGATGACTCTGTGTACAAAATGATGGAACGATGCTTAAGGGGTATGAGACGCCCTTGGGCGTGGTTAGGCTTTTAGCAGTTGCATAAGTAGACAGGTTTCCATTACGTTGTCAACAGATTCCGCCAAAGTAATTCTGTCATTTACGCACATTCGTTCTTGTTCCTGTTTCCCAAATGGAAAGCCTTTCCCACACTAGAGCAAGTCGATATTGTATACTGTTAAGGATACGTTAGTTAGACGGGCCTAACTTAATGCGAAGCAAATTGATAAGAGCTTGAGGAAAAATTGAAATGTGTGTGTATGTATGCATGTGTCTGTAGGTGTGTTTCTATATATGCATGATTTCTGTGAAGAAACGGCGTGAGTCAGTGAAAAAAGTCCTGTTCCTGCAAGAAGTCAACCTATTCCCCCACAATATGCCCTAATTCTTAGGCGTTTATTAGGCGCTTATAGTGCATCGGTAAGCGGTACCTTGCAATTCAAACGTGGTCATCAATTCCACCATAATTTCCGAGGAAATCTAACCCTCTCCTCTTTGGGGTTGACAGATTATTACCCAGCTACTGAAGCATAGAAATCAGTGAAGTGGTACATCGGTAGGCTCGCCAGAAACTTATGTTTAAGCAAGTTATGCATTCGATCACCTCTACGATACTATGAATAAAATCGAACGTATGACGCATTTCTGAGCGATTAATCGACGCCCCCTCCCCCTCCCAACGGTTTACCCCGTCATTGTGGATGGGAGGTATTTCTGGGTGTCGAGCTGCAATGTACAGCGGGAGGATTCGTCCGCTCGGCGGAGTCTCCCAAGCTGAAAAGGAGTCCGGCGTTTCCATCAGGAAGCCTAGCTAAGAGTAAACCAATACCAGGATCCACCACCGTCTTGGTATCAAAGTCGCATGGTGGTAAATCTCTCTCTGATCCACAAGGGCTACGACTACCTGTCGTGGCGACGACCTGGGGGCAGACTTTGGCCAGGTTCTCCTTGGGATTCCAGAGAACCACAATGGCTTAACCAGCAAATCTCCGAAAAATGGTGATTATGCTTGCTGGGGCCCGCACAAACTAGTGATGGTAGGCCGTTCAAGTATCAAGTAATCAAAGGCGGAATCTCTGGCGTTCTTATCTACTTCTTATAGAAGTCAATCACTGTGAATGAATGCACCTTTTCCGTTATCGTTCCATTAGTTGCTAAACTTTTCAGGAGTGCACGACCTCGTTTGGCGCCGCCTCCACCGCCACCGAAAAAGCCGACGGCCGAATCGCAACATAAGAGTCAGTTAACCGACAGTCAATCACGGTAACTAAAGTTTCTTTCTTTTTCTTCCTCTTATTCTTCCTATTCAACCTGTTACGTAGATTTTCCACATTTTTTATTAGCTCGTTTTTTATCGATTAGTAATCCTTCCAATGAAGGATTTTCATTCTATGTTGTTTCTAGAATGAGAAACGCCACGAATGAGTCATACTGTGTTTATAGCAGCCTTATTTAATTTAAAATGACTTTCCTTTAGAGTTTATTTTTGTGTAGAATTTCTCGAAGACGTATGTTTCCGGAGAAAATTAGTAAACAGAGATAGGCTGCTTTTTTTTCGCAACAAATTTTCAACGGTACAACTATCCACATAATATGTCGCATGGGTCTTGTAACGTATGATTGGCCGGTTCTCCAAGTGGGTGAGGACTGGGAATAGTCACTTATGAATCCCTAAATCTCGGAGAGGGATCGATCATCCAGTTTCTTCCCTCAAACCATTTTCGGATACTGGCGTTCATAAATTTCGAATAGTATTTTTAAATGGATTGATTTGGCTGTTGAGAGAAAAGCTAAGCGAAAGACCTGCCTGGTGTGGTGGTGAACCTGTTAGCCCCTAGGAAGGGTAATAGCTTGTTCGATGCTCACCGCGGACACTTGCAGTCTGGAGTTCTGTAAATATTTCAGCATAAATGTGGTTAAATTTCACATCATACCCTACCATGAGGGCGCATGTAACGCAGTGGTCGGAGGCGCCCCGCAATGCGCATGGGATCGATTCCCGCTCCCTGCCCACCAAGCCTTCCATCTCCCGGGGTCAGGGAATTAGTGCCAGATTTTTCCGGGAGGATAGCAACACTGGCTTGTTGGCCAACGGTAATGTAAAGGCCAGATACGCCTTCAAACACCTCTAAAGATGCTTAATTAAGTTTAATGCATGGCGTATCCCTCAGGGATTGATCATCGCCGAGAGCTTCATCTTTTATACTTTTTTACCCTGCATTAAAAAGGATAGGAGGTAAATAGAAAATGACTGTGTGATGATTTGCATTATGGTTCTAGTTTAACTGGGTTCAATGCAATGCCGATTTGTGCTCTCCAGATCAATCACGTTGACTGATGATTGCTGATAGCACCTGTAGGTTAAAAGAGAACTTAGAGAAAAGCGAAACGAAAGACCCGCATGGTGTGGTGTTGAACACGTTGGCCCTCGGAAAGGGTAATAGAGCGGGTTCGATCACCACCGCAGACACCTGCGGTGCGGAGTTTGCAAATATCTATGCGTTATTGTGCTTATATTTCCCATCATATCTTGCCATGAAAAAAGAATAGGCAATAAATAAAAAGTGACTACATTCAGTAGTGCTAGGTAAGTGAGGATTATAGATAATATGATAAAGATAATGAATATATGAAAAGTGGAAAATATAAAAGATAAAAGGGTGAAGTGTTGGACATTTCTGCACTATCTCTTGGGGATATGCTATGCCTTAAATTTCATTTGTTGCATGGATTTATTTTCAGGCATTGAACGTTATTTCAGAGTCCTTATCCTCTCAACAAATCTAATACTAATTTGCGTACCTCGAAGGTATAGAGGGAATGGTTTTCTCGGAACGCGAGGTGGTTCCAACGACCATATGAACGACAGAGGGGCTCGAATTACTATACTATACACTCTTTGGAAAATATAGGCTATAAGAAGCGAAACAAGCAACATGTAGAATCTCAATGGCGAATATCAGCGACGTATTCCAGAATGACGACAGATCGATTGTCGTGCATCGATATCTGTCAGCAGCTACCACAATCGCAGGATGATTCTCCGCAACTGCGTTCATCGTGGAACTGTGATCGCGGGTCCATACCTAGGTAAACAATGCAAGCTAGATTTTTATTGCCGATTTCGTCTTTCCGTAAAAAAATGGCTCACAAGTGTCTAAAGAATAAGAAAGAAAGAGCAGAAGATAAACGTTTTTATCAGAAATCCTGATCCATCTGTGAAATATGTCTAGGTGGCAGGTATAAACGTGAATTTAGTTTCTATACGACAAATCTCCGACGTAAAGCACTTTCAGGCTCTAGCTATTATCCACTTCATAGGGTTCTCTTATCGTATCAGGTTTCGAAATAGTAACCATTTGTGCGAAAGTGGCGCTTCAATAAAGTACACTAGCACTTGGAACTTGCAGGTTTTTCGCTGGGATCACATTTCAGTCACAGTTTCTATATTTTTAAAGGCAATAATACTGTTCTATTTAACCTACTATCTGTAAAAATGGAGCGCGTGTAAGGCAGTGGTTGCAGGCGCACTGCAATACACACCTATAGTGTAGATTTTTCTTACAATTCAAGGATACATTGTTTCATGAAATGGAAAGCCTATAATTGTGCGAAGAGTATGATGAAGTGTCAGAGAAGAGCCGTAGTGATTTTTCGGCTCAGGTCTACGACTGGTTCCCAATATTTTGTAACAATTAAGATATTTTGACGGTGATTACAAAAAGGGGAACGTAATTCTTTATTAACAGAAACTCCCTCATGATCGGGGTATGTCCTCACGGAATTGTTTAATATGGCTTAAAAGATGAATGTTAGAACTTCCTATAGCTAGAAAATATGCGAAATGTTGGGCCTATATCCATAGATATAGGCGCGTGTGGCGCAGTGGTTGGAGGTGCCACTGCGACACACACGTGGAATCGATCCTCTAGCCCATTCCATGGCCCACTAAGCCTTCCATCCCTCCGGAGTCGGCGAACTGGTACCAGACTTGTTTGGGAAGGATAGCAACACTGGCTCGATACATCGGTAGGCCACCGCGAGTCATTATAAATTTATAAAAATTTAATTATAAAGGCCAGATATCCATTCAATCACCTCCAACCATACTTAATGAAGTCGAAAGCATGACGCATCCCTCAGGAATTGATCAACGCCGAGAGCATTATCCATTATTATTGTGCCTACAGACTATTGGGCTTTGGCATTCACCTCACCTGTTCAGTGTCTATGGATGGGACATAGATATTTTTATTTATGTGATCTTATAAACTGATCTTCTTAAGCTGACGCGAGGTTGGTACAGATCTTCGCTGTCGTTGTCGTTGTCGTTGTTTTTGATGTTATTGAACGATGGCTGA